ACACACACACACACACACACACACACACACACACACACACACAGAGAGAGAAAGAGAGAAAGAGAGAGGAAGAAAGAGAGAAAAACAGAGAGAGAGAGAAAAAGAGAGAGAAGATAAAGGGAGAGAGAGAGAAAGAGAGAAGAAGAAGAAGAGGAGGAGGAGGAGGAGGAGGAGGAAGAAGGAGAGGAAGAAAATTGACTACAAACAAAACAGTAGCTGAAAGGAACTCCATTTCCAAAGTCTAAATGATGTCCGGAGAGCATTTTAAGCAGAAGTACAGAAACATAAAAGTCATGATACACACAGAAGTATTTTTTTTTCTCTTAGATGTTTAAATATCCAGTATTATATGGATATGACTTACATATTAAGATCAGATGTGATTTTTCCCCAAGTACACAGGTTGCTTTAAGTATGCATTAGACAGTATATTTTTACTTCCACAAAGACTGTGAAATTGCTTTATACCTGGGACAATGTGGAACTCTATGAAGCTTAGCAGACTCTATAGCCACATAATTGCCCATTTTCACTGCTTCCAATGAGGCCTGACAGCTCACCAGTTTACAACAGTGGCAGATGACTAGAAAAAGAAGTTTTTCGTTTTCTAACTTCCTTTCAGTAAAGATTTCCTGAAAATTCAGGTTTAAATAAATAAATAAAAGTCTTATGAATCATGCAACACACTGCTACATTCAGCCAGGTTTTATATCCTTGCAATATTCCTACCACGTTTGGAATGAGGTTCAGAAGTTGCAAATAAAGCACGCATTCAAGAACTTCTTAAAGTAATCAGAAAAGTAATACATATGAAAAATCATTTCTAATTACCTCTGTTGAGTGACGCTGAGCTGTTGATATCTCCGGTAATAAAGGAAGACTCGGACTGCTTTCGAACCGTGTCATTCCACATTCTACGAATTCGGCTCTGGGTGAGAGAAAGAGAAGAAAGGGAATGAAATCGTGAAGCAGTGCATGTTCCCACAAAACATTCTTTTTCTTTCTGTCAGAGTTATATGAGTCCTTTGTTTCTGGCATCTGGCAAATAAACAATTTCTCTGTGTTTGCTGCTTACTAATAAGAGAATATCAGAAATAAAATGCATGGTAATACTTGATTTTCACTATGTGTGCTCCTAAATTCCTATACCAAGGAGACTTATAACTAGGAAAAAGGAATAAATGTAAACACTACACCAACTTAAACACACTGAAAATAGAAGTGTACTCTAGACAGATTTGGAAAATGTTGGCCTCCAAGGTAAAAATAAATTATTTTCATTGTAACTTTTATTGGAATGGGAATGCTTAAAATAGGTATTACATTGTCAGCTATGTTAACAAAAGATTTAGTTGAAGAATTCAGAATTTTGCAAGAGAGAGAGAGTCTGGTAAGAAAAGAACATCGAATATTATTAAAAATGCTACTGAACTTACATTCCCCATAACTTTTGTAAGAAGATCAATGTAACTTTCAAGATTACGTATTCTCCTGACTTTTCTTTCTTTTGGAAGAGATAAGGTAGTTGATTCACTCCCTATTCATTGCTTCATAATAGAAACTTTGACAGATAACTGAAAATTCCCCTCTAATTATTTATATTCTTAAATCCAAACTTGTAAGTGTCAGATAATTCAAGAAACCATTCTAGTATTTTTTCATTTCAAGAGGAAAGTTTTCTTGTTTCTTTTTTCCCCTGTTTTGCCCATTTAATAAGATAAGAATTCAAACATGATTAATGATCTTGTGAGGGAAGAAAGATATTTTTAGAAGTTTTTCCCAGGATGAAATAGTTACAAACATCCACTACTACTCATTGTGGAACTAAGCTCAAAAATGAGTGATGTTCCAATTATCTTTAGACTCCTGTAAAAACAGAGGTAGCTAATGTTAGAATAGTAGATGACCAGTTTTAAGAACCCTGGGACATGCTCATCTTTCAGAAATATTTGTATTACATTTTCCGAGGTCAGCAAACAAACAATCACACACATGTTTGTGCACACACGAAAAGCATATGTAATAAACAAAAGGCAGTTCTTTGAATGAGCCTCTTACATTTGTTTCATTCATTCATTCATTCATTCAAAAATATTAATCACCCTTTTCTAACTGTCAAATACTAATCTGTAAGATACAAAGGGGAGGAACCGGTAGGTAGCAAGGTGATTAAGGGTGCTGGACTCCCACATGGCCAACTGTGGTTTGAGTCCAGGACCTAGCACCTTGTTTTCTTACTTTCCCTCTCTCTGTTTCACATTCTATTATTTCCAAGTCAAATTAAAATGAATGAATGCATAAATAGGTAAATAAATAAATGTTTAATAAAATAATTCTTTTTTAAAAAGAGATACAAAAGGGAAATGCATACACAAAAGTTCTTTGCCTTCATGGAACTGCTAGACTGCTAAGTGACAGATTACTAAATTTATCAGAAAAATAAATGCAAAAGTAGAAGGTTATGTCCACAGATTTCTATAACACATTATATATTATAGTTGCAAATTATGAACAACCAAATGACCATCAATGGTAAAGTATATGGACAAATTATAGAATACTATACAGCAATGAAAACTAAAAGGCAACATGGCACTCTGTAGCAACTAAATGTTGGGGCAAAGAAGGAAAATGTAAAAGAATGTGGATACATGATTTAAGGTGAAGTATGAAGTTCATGCAACATAAAATGCACTGTTAAAAGTTAAGACAGTGGTTATATTGAAGGTGCTTTATTGAGAGAAGCTCAAAGGCTTCCTGCAGTGCTCCCAACAGTTGGACTCAGGGAGGGATACTTACTCGTTGTGGCATATATGGATGTTTTGTGCACTTTTGTGAACATATTACACAACTGAAAAAATGTAAAAAGTTGCAGGAGTAGGAGGTATGTCCTTGTCTAGGGAATCTGAGAACAATGCATTGAAGAAGTAACATCTTAACACCAAGCGTGTATAGAATTATCATTAGGTCACATTAACATGAACTGCCCCCATAATCTTATCTCCTGTTAGTCTCCACTACCCGTTCCAGCCACACCTGTCCCCATGCTATTCTGTAACATACCAGGCATGTTTCTGCCTTACAGCTTGGCACTGGTTGTTTTATCTGCCTGGAGTATTTCTGTGCTCCTTCCTCCTCCTATACATAAGTCCTTCAATTTTCTCACTTTTTGCTCAAATATTTTCTCCTTTTACTTTGAGAAAGAGAGGTTTTTGCTATAAGTTTCACTTGCTTGCCAGAGAGACAGAAAGTGAGAAATCACCCTCCAGGGGCATGGCCATACCACAGTCCCTTCTGTTTTCTCCTCTCAGGATTTTGGGTATGTGCGCACACGTGCCCGGTGTGAGTTTCCAACTGCCAGGTCTGGGACTCAAACTGCAGTTGGCCATGTGGGAGTCCAGCAACATGACCATTACACCATATGCTAGTCCCTTCTCTCTTTTTTAAAAAATTTTGCTGTAGAATTTAATCATTTATGGTTGTTAAATTATTTAAGATAATCTGGTATATTATTAGGTTGTTCCAACAGTCATAGATTTTTATGCAAAAATGTGTCATGACTTTTCTGACAACCCAATACTTTTTAAAATTTTAGGTGGAGCTCTTAAAGTAATATTAGGTATATGTTTTTTTTTCCCCTATAAGATAGAAGAGAGGCATTAGCAGGTGGTGTGGTGGTTAAGGCGCTGGACACTCCCACATGGCCGACCACAATCTGAATACAGGGCCAGGGGCTTGCTTTCCCACTTTCTCTCTCTCTCTCTCTCTGTCTCACTCTGGTTAAATTAAAATAAAGGAATGAATAAATTTTAAAAATTAAATAAATAGTTCTTTAAAAAAAAAGATAAAAGAGAACTCCATTAAGTTTGAATAAAGTATTTGTTTACAAAAACATTGTATACTGTCTTTGATTTCTAAAGAACTGTTTGGGTGTTAGTTAGGTGTGTAGTACTCTCTGGTCCAACAGTTGATGTGTTTGGGGCAATCAGATATACTAAATATCTTAATGATATTTAAGCAATATAAGAACATTTCATATTTGAAGTATATGAATGAAACTGTTTAAGGGAATTCAATCTATTAAACATAGAGCCAACTGAACACCCAACAAAGAACAAATGAGATAATCATGTTTGTTTTACATAATATTACACTTATAAAAAAAATAATGTACATATTGGGCTAAAAGAAAAAAATTCTTGATTTATAACTCCGCTTATTAATTTAAATTCAAGCTTCTTCAGAAAAATTTAATTGGTAACACTGAAAACATGACTGTTTTTCCTACCGAATCATGGAATCTAAAAGTATTAGTCTGTGCCCAAACTCCTGACTCCCACCATCTTCAGCTGACTAGCTTATATGAGCACCTGGGAGATGTTGAAATTTCCATGCAATAATCATTAAGAGGACTCTGTGGCCTGGGAAAAATGGCAGACGGTGTACATAAACATTCAAAATTTCTCTAGTGAGGGACTGACTATGCAACTCCATGTGGGCTGGATTGATGCGAGTAGTGCTTGGACCAATCACATCAATGATACTGTTGTACACTTCACTGCCCTCACTGGCTCTTCAGCTTGTCAGCACATTACATGGTATAAGGCAGCACTGTTTTCCCAACATACCATTTCTATGTGACTAGTTTCGGTATGTGACAGGAAGTTACACACTGCTTAATAGAAGTAATTCAAGAAATTATATATATTTTTATACACATGTGTATGTGTGTATTATATATATATTTACATGTCTCTATATATGTGTGTATGTGTACATGTGTATGTATGTGTATATTTATGTGTGTATATATACACACATGTATATATAATACACACTACACACACACACACACACACGTATATATATAATACACACATACCTACAGGGTCATTGGAAAAATCATGCCTTTTCCAACGACCCTAAATATATATGTGTGTGTGTGTGTGTGTGTGTGTGTGTGTGGACTCTGTGGCCTGGGAAAAATGGCAGACGGTGTACATAAACATTCAAAATTTCTCTAGTGAGGGACTGACTATGCAACTCCATGTGGGCTGGATTGATGCGAGTAGTGCTTGGACCAATCACATCAATGATACTGTTGTACACTTCACTGCCCTCACTGGCTCTTCAGCTTGTCAGCACATTACATGGTATAAGGCAGCACTGTTTTCCCAACATACCATTTCTATGTGACTAGTTTCGGTATGTGACAGGAAGTTACACACTGCTTAATAGAAGTAATTCAAGAAATTATATATATTTTTATACACATGTGTATGTGTGTATTATATATATATTTACATGTCTCTATATATGTGTGTATGTGTACATGTGTATGTATGTGTATATTTATGTGTGTATATATACACACATGTATATATAATACACACTACACACACACACACACACACGTATATATATAATACACTCTTACCTACAGGGTCATTGGAAAAATCATGCCTTTTCCAACGACCCTAAATATATATGTGTGTGTGTGTGTGTGTATGTGTGTGTGTATATATATATATATGATTTCCAGTGACCCTATATATTAAAAATATGTAAATATATATAAAATGTATAATATTTCTAATGATCATATAGATATAAAATAGATAATATGTAATAGATAGCTCTATGCTGCTTAAAAGTAATCTAAGATAAAAGAGAGGCATCAGCAGGTGGTGTGGTGGTTAAGGCGCTGGACACTCCCACACGGCTGACCACAGTTTGAATCCTGGACCTGGTGGCTTGCTTTTCCACTTTCTCTCTCTCTCTCTGTCTCTCTTTCTCTCACTCTGTCCATCTGGTCAAATGAAAATAAATGA